GCCGGAACGAGTGGCTCTGTAAAATTGTCACACAAAAATTTGTGATATTTGGAGATTTTCACCATCTGTTCACATAAACATCAAGCGACAAATCCGTTTATACTTAAACGTAACTCATGTCGGAAAATTCAATAATTTATGAATAATAAATAATTGATGTTCAGCGACAAAATTTAATCACTGCCAGTTCTACGAGGTGTACGCATTTTGGTTTGCTTGGATTTTTTTAAGCTACGTGACGGCTGAGTAGATTCTTCTTCGGGCGGCCGCAGCATGCACGATTGGCTGAAATCAATCCTTATTGAAAACAATATGATTTCCCTGATTATCAATAAACTAACTGAAAACCATTCAATTCCTTTTGTTTATATTTTCGTTTCTAGTCATTTTTGAAGCAGGATATACCTCAGCGCTGGAATTTTTCGAAAATTCCCCCTCTTAGATGGGTCTCGATACGACCCCCGCCATCGACCCTAGGAGGGTCCCCCAATACATTCGCCGACTTCCCACACTAACCTCCTTACCACCATAGCCGCTTGTATAGTATTTTATTCTAATAATACCAATCGGCTCCCCTCCTTTTTTTCGTAGAACAAAGCCGTCGGGTGGGGAGGCAGGGAGGAGCTGCATGCCCAGGAATGCGACGGAATGAAGCGCCCATGAATCTAGCTTTGACCTCTTCATTCCTTACGTTGAAATTGGTTTTGAAACTGACATAAAGCGTCTAACACGACCCACTTCTATAGCGACCATGACCCCTCTAAAGCTCCACAACAACGACCCCCTCCTTTCCACCTTTTGACACTCGGCAACCCAAAGTACTACCCCTCTCAAAACTGCAAATATGACTTCCTCGTTGGCACTTGTACTAGCGGACGGTGGACCCTTTGAAGCCTTATTTGGCGATTGCCTAGATGTAGATTACCGTCTCAAATGACGACAAATATGGTAATTGGACCACCATTTGTAAAGAAAGCCAAGAAGTTTGCTGCGGACCTCCGAAACGTCATCCATCACATGTGGGCGAAGTCTCTAGGCCGATGTCAGACTTTGCGAATCGCGCGATTCGCTAGCGTCTGCGGTCGCGTCGCGGCCAGTGAATCACTCAATTGGCTGGTACCGCAACGCGACCGCGGACGCTAGCGAATCGCGCGATTCGCAAAGTCTGACATCGGCCTAAACAATGGCCTTTCGCATTTGTCCGCCCGCACTTGATACGATAAAGAAGAGTCCGCCAGAAAACAATAGACATTGGTCTGATTTCGCCCACATGATCAGTGCAGAACGTGCTTTCAAGAGTTCCTGGCAACTTCTTTGATATTTCGCTATTACTCTCCCATTTGCTACGTATAATTTAATTTCAGGGCACAGTAATCCACCCCTAGACAATCGTGGCAAGTACGTTCAACTCAATTGTTTGGTTACTGAGGACTCACTCAGCATTTTGCGATTCAGACGGTGCAGCTAACGACACCGTAGGATCATTAGTGATGTTCGAACGCTGCTGATCCATGGAATTCACGGTTGTCTGTTGCATGCTAGTCGATGGCGTATCAGACGGACGGCGCAACTTTGACAGGAGCATCTGAATGTGACGCTCTGAAATTGGTGTATCTATTTTAACACACATGACACTATGAATTGTGTGTTAAAGACGGGCTAATGTGCCTGCAGTAAAGAAATTCTATGTCTTAAAGTAACAAAACGCGGCCCATTTGTGAAGAAGGGCACACCCGTATCGGCCTGGCAAGGCCTTTCCCGTCCGTTCGGACGGCACCACATACCTTTGCCCTCCCACCAATGCTCGCTGTCGCACTCTAGACGTTTTGGCAGAGACGCAGAGCAGAGCGTTCATGTTGATGACGTCAGCACCGATGTGACTCGTCCGAAGCGATTTCGCTTAGCAGGTTTTGGGTCGTTTCCTTCTGTTTTTTCTTCATCAGGCATCCTTTACCACCACTACTTTCATATCCATCGGCGACCAACACTTGGTGCCATGCGTCGTTAAGTTATAGCGGTGAAACTCCAGTTCGGGGGGGCCACTCCATTTTTTCTCCAATACTCAAGATAAGGATTAGAGGGCTCACGACACGTAATCGACTCATTTAAAGTAGACTTCTGATAAATATTGGTGTAATGGGTGAGAAACCCTGAAACGTTTTCACATTTCCGCCTGCCATGACCCAAGGGAACGGTCCTGGACCAGGAGAAAGGACACCTCCGCAAAGGGCTAAGGGTGCAGGAGCTCCAGGGTGGATCACCTGTGCAGAAAAGTGGATGGGATGTGGGCAGGTAGTGTGGAATGTAGGACATCCACCGGTCCTTATCAAAAGTACGCTCGAAATGAGTCGTTCACTTATTATCTTATCCGTAGTGTTCGATAGCCCAAAGAACTGCTCTCTAGTACTACGGATAAGATAGCAATGGAGAGTGCCCCCCCCCCGAACTGGAGTTTCACCGTTATAGACTTTCCTAATAGCAGCTCTAAATCTACGACGACCATCAAGCATCTACTAGTCCTGTCCTATTTATTAGAGTTGTTTGCAATTTGTTGGTTTTGGACGTCTTTCTGTGGCACAGCTCCGAAAAATCCATAAATGGATATATTTCGGACGAAGTTACACTGCCGCTCACATGGCATTCAGTATCATTCAGCAAGATAGAACTATTGATTCTTTTGAATTTTTTCTTGATAACAGTGTTCCAGGAAGATTTCAAAAGTCGCTAACCGCGGTCATGTGCTCCTTTATGACACATTCTACGGCAACAGGGCGTTGTAGGTCCCAAATGTGGAATTTTCGGAAACCCCGCTCTTGAGGAAAGCAGGGAGATTTTCCAAAAATGCTAAGAATAAGGTCTTCCTTCTTGAATTTGCTCTTCAGCATGGTATAAGGAAAGCTCACGGTAAAGAAAACATAAGAAAGGTGGGATAGAATATCACAGAGACGAGAGAGCAAAGAGACGAGTGAGACGCAGACATCAACTTATTTACCAGTCGCATTCTTCTAGGGGCGGATCCTGAGTTGATGGGGTTCCAAATGATGCCATGAGGTTTTTAGTAGGCATGACCATTTGCGCAAAAGCTGGATCATTCACGTTGACGTCAGCCACTTACCGAAATAGGTTCGTCTGAGCCATGATCCAGCATAACATTATCCAGTCGGATTTTCCGACGTGTCTAAAATAGTTGGTAACAGATGTGCGAAGAGAGGATGAATTTCCGTAACTATTCGTGATATTTTATTTTTATTTTATATTATTATTTTGTTTTTTGAGTGTAATTTTTGTTCTTTATTTTTGTCGTATTCCTTATTGCTTCCCGAAGTGTTCTTTTTTCTACGGACAGAGGTAGAGCAGCGGCACAAAACGTGGCATACCATGAACGTGGTCTAGGGGCCGGATTTCGGATCAACTCTCATCTAGGCGAACAGAGACTTCCATCGCTACGGTGTTGGGTAATTGGTACTATAATTCTGAAAAGATAGGGGTCCTGACTTCTACACGGCCCGGACCCCATAAGTCTTTGTATAGGTCATTATCCATTCAAATGCTAATGCGATTCTAACCGAAAGTAGAATCTGTGGCGCATCCCAAAAAGATGAATCCACGTCGAATACTCTAATCATCCTTACATTTACATCATTTTCGCTTGAAACTAACATGCAGTGGCTTGTCAAATATGTGAATAAATAGATGAACAAATAAATAAGTAAATAAATAAATAAATAAGTAAACAAAGAAATAGTAAATGATGAATAAATAAGTCATAAAGATCGAAAAACATGGCGAATAAAGCGATGCTTTGTTCATAACTCACTATTCTTTTGAAACATTCGCAAGACGAAATGTGGCCAAAAACAGCAGTTAGCAGTCAAAAGCAAGCCAAAATTAATTGCTAAAGCTCTCAGCCTCGCGGTTTACTGCTTAAAGCAACACTGAAGTGGGCGTGGTCGGAATCGGCCGAGGAGATTGCAGTCGTTTCCGACCACGCCCACCCTGCTGGGACTGTTGCTTTAAGTCCGCTATCCAGCTCACCACATTATACGTGTGAGTGCTGAAGCTATGGTACGTATACCATGAAAAGCTGAGTTGGGATGAAATGGTGCCCCGGTAGCGTAACTGGTAGCGCACTTGCCCGGAAAGCGAGAGGTGCGGGTTCTAGTCCCGCCTGGGGCGAAAGTTTTGTTCACAACCCAGCATTCTTGTGAAACAAGGGGGAGATGTTTGAGATGGGGTTTGAATTAGAAAGCGTGGAAAGTAACTTACAAATGGAATCACTAGTAGAAAAGCCGCGATTGACGCATAAATTAATACTGGTATATATCTCACGTAGAATAAAACTTGCAAGGGATCCTGAAAATCTTCGATTGATCAGCAGAAATTCGTAAACCTTGCTTTTTCTCCCATTCTTGATCGATCAGAGCGTTACCCCGAGTTCAAAAATCAGTGGATAAGGGCTCCATGCAGCTCTGAACCAGGCCCGTCCTAGCGTGGGACTTTCCGAATTTTTTTACGACCCCCTCATGACCAAGCATTTCGCGACCCCTTCACCACCTTCGCCATCATGCGTCGCTTGTTTTTATATTATTTAATTTTGAGACAGTCGCACCCTAACTTCCACCCACTTCTCCTTTCCCCCTTCCTCTCCAAAACGACAACCGTCGAGCGGGACGAGCGGGGGAGGGGGGGACTCAACAAAAAGACCCCCCTTTGGTACTTGTCGCAAAATAGGATTAACCCTGCTCTGAACTTTAACCAAAGAAGGCGCCACACACACACAACTTCTATTCAAGTCGTAGTGAAATTCAAAGGAGGAATCAACGATAAGAACGAAGGTGGAAGAAGGGGAAAATTGCCTAGTTGGGAGACAGGCGGACCTCCTGAGGGTGCTGACCGACGCGCAATTGGCAGCGAAAGATTTGACCTCGGCGATCTAGCATGGCTCACTCTTGGCGCGGTTGGCTACGCCCACCGACTATCTAATCACTCGCCAGGTCTATACGTGGCGAGTGATTAGATAGCAGAGAGAGCGTAGTGTTGAAGAGGGCACAGCGATGAGAGTCGCATCAATGCGCAAATCAACGGGCAAGGAAGGGGTCCCATTTCTCGGGTTCGGGCCGTTTCAAATGGTTTCTTCTTCATCCCTGCTCCACTGACCACCTCTACCCTTATTCCAAATGAGCTAAGTCCCATTTCTCGGGTTTCGAGCCGTTTCAAATGGTTTCTTCTTCATCCCTGCTCCACTGACCACCTCTACCCTTATTTCCAATGAGCTAAGTTTTCATCGTAAATTCTGCCTTTAACTGCTATTTGGCCTAAGCAAAGAGTCATGGGCCAAACGACGTACAATTGAGTGATTCAACCCTCCTAATCAGCCTGATAACGTTGGGCGGTCAATTTGATTCTAATCGTTTTTGTTGCCAAAAAACGTACCTTTTGGGAAATTCATTCAATTTATCTTATTCAAAATATTTTTCGTTACTCTCTATAAATTTTCCCATCTTTCTCCCAAAGTGGCGGTACCGCCACTACAACCCAATTTTAGTCCCGGAGTGATCAAATTACGACCCATTTTTGCACCTTTTCAACTTCTCGATATCGGATTGTCGAGCACTCAAATATCTCAGATGCAAAGAAAAATAGATGACTGAATAGTAAACAAACAAACAAATAAATAGATAAATAAACAAATCATAAATAATATTTAATAGCGATACCATATGCATCCTTATGAGATGTTTCCTTTTTTCGACCGACAGATGAGGAAGTGACCACATGTGATGCATGCGAGAGAACATTGGGAACTGAAAATCAATTGCATCTGTGATACTGAAAATTAGTATGACTGACTGCTTGAAATAACCGACTTACTCCGTTTTCCCACGGTCGTCCACTTATATAAACGGATACCAGTGTCTTGAACGCAAGCATGACGTTCTCTGCAGTATCTATGTCGTGCTTGTTCTCCACATCAAAGCTATAAGGACAGGTCAAACTATCGCTTGTTAACAAAAAACAATAAACAGAACAGTTATATAATAGAATATATATGTAAAAATATGAAGTGGTTCGTTTGGCCCCTTAAAGGCACGCTCCGGGATTGCGCGC